TTTTTTAATACGCCAGCTAATACTGAGATGTGAGAGAAAAAAAGAGACCCGGGCGGGGGGGGGGGGGTTGGTCTCCCCACAGGCCATTTTTTTCACCATCTAGCACCCACACAGATATGGGTTTTCAAAGCCAACTCCCCTCCCCCATTTTTTTCCTTTCTATTTTCTTAGGCAGAATGATTTAAAACATCTCTGAAAGAATAAACCATTGGATTACTGTTCCTGTGTACTGGATCTTACAATGACAATCACTTTCCTGTACTGGATTTTACAAATACAATTGTTTTGACTGCTTTTCCCAATGGTTCCCATGCTGGAGTGGAAGGATAAGAGTGGGAGAAAGGAACTGATTGCATGTAGAGAGTAAGGAAGATGACATCGACAAAGATAGGCCCAATCCATTACCAGAACAGCAAGGGTGAAAACATGGCTTAAGTCCAAAACAGGAAGGTATATGCAAGCAACTCAAGCAGACGCCTCCCTAATTCACATGACTATTGCGGGGGGAGGGGGGGTAAAGCACAGTCAGACTTGCAAGATTGATGTCAGCCCCACTTATGTAGACCAAACCAAGTAATCAACTCCACAAGAAGACTAAAACTATTCTTAATGTTGGCTATAGTGACAAAATTTTGCAAGTCTGACTATGCTTTACTCCCCTCTCCCCCTGCTCAGGATAAGGAACTTTCTGGTGAAGGGAAGGAAACTGGAAATAAAGGAGACTGGAAACTGAGTATGGCTACAATTAATACCAAATCACAACCAAAATGGGGAAAAAAAACCCAACATTAATCATATTAAATGTAAACTAATTTAGTTTACCTAGCAAAAGAAGGACAATTTTCAACAAGCTCCGAAGCTGATATTGTTTGATTACAAGACATAGACCATGTCAATTTGTTAAAACAGAAAAAGTTAAGTCAAGAATATCTGGAAAAATAAAAACAAAAAAATTGGAATAGTAATTCATCTTAAAACACCTTCCTGGGAAGTATTAGAACAACTTTTTAAATTAATTTTTTAGATTGCTTCTTAATTAATTACAAAAAGGAAAGAAAAAGAACAAAATACAAAGATAAAAATAATGGGGATACATACATTGTCAAGGAGAGGAAATAGAAAAGAAAAAAATACAAAAAGTGCTTTAACAAAAATATAAGAAAGGAAAAAAATATGTTAATATGTCATTATAACAATAAACAATTACAATTCTATATATACTTATCTAATGCTAATATTATTCAAGTACGTATATATTTCTAATACATTTATCTAACTATCATGGTTTTTTTTAACCTACTGTATTTTGTATAAATTAGTCCCATATGTCATTATCCTTGTCCATACAAAGTCTACATTTATAGGCAATCCACTCGTATGTGGCAAGCGCAATCAGGTCTTCAATCCATTGAATAAATGGGGCCGTACATTTATCTTTCCAATGCTGCAATATCTGTCTTTTGGCCCTAGTAAGGGCCCGGAGAATCCATTTACGTTGTCCAGTTGTCAAATTCCATGTGCTAGGTAGATAATTCAAAAGAATAATATCCTCTGAAAATTTTAGCTTTTGTTGCACAATCATATTTATATAGTCCACTACTTTCTCCCAAAACTTGGTAAGTATAGGACATTGTAGAAACACGTTTTAAAGAAGCTTTATCTTTCCAATGCTGCAATATCTGTCTTTTGGCCCTAGTAAGGGCCCGGAGAATCCATTTACGTTGTCCAGTTGTAAAATTCCATGTGCTAGGTAGATAATTCAAAAGAATAATATCCTCTGAAAATTTTAGCTTTTGTTGCACAATCATATTTATATAGTCCACTACTTTCTCCCAAAACTTGGTAAGTATAGGACATTGTAGAAACACGTTTTAAAGAAGCATTATCCTTATACATCTCCAACAAAATGCTGTTTTTGATCATCCTTTTCTGCACAAACGTAATGGAGTCCAATAAATTCTAAATATTATTTTTTATTGTATAAATTGTAATTTGAGGTCCATTGACACTCTTGCTATAGAAGTTAAAACACTCTCCCATTGTCTATGCACTGTAGGAATCTCTAATTCTTTATTCCACTCATTTCTTAACATCTGCATATCAAATTGACTTATTGTTAACAAATATCTATAAAAACTAATTGTAGGTTTTTAGTTTTAAAAGATTTAACAAATTCTAGTATCTCAGGTATCTCAGAAGCTGAAAATGCTGCTGGTCCAAATGTTGTAACTATAAATATTGCCATTGGTTGCATCTGATAGATGATATTTATCTCTTAAACACAGAATATGTTAAAAATTCATCTTCATCATCTATCAGTTGGTCCAAAGGGGAAGTATTAGAATAACTTTACACCACTTTAATACCTTGGCCAGAACTTCTACGGAACTAAAGCTACCAATCCAACTTTAACATAATGGTGATTTATCTGGTGCATCTCCACCCACAGAACACAACAAAATACCAAATATTAAAGACATATCATTGAGAAATAGAAATTTTTTTATTTCTATTTGAAATAAGTAAATCATTGTTTTATTTTACATTATTTTAGCATCATAACTCTTGTCACCAGTTAACATTTCTCTACATATGTATCTGGAACTGAGTACAGACCTCACTGGAACCTATTTCTGAACAAGTATGTATATTATCCTGAGCTTCTCTTATAAGTATGGTATTTTTATAAATTTGGGAACTATAATATTAAGAGAACTACTATTTCATTTTTTTTTTTTAAGTCACATTTCATCCTGGTGTGTTTTTAAGGATGATACTTTATTGTTCCTTTTCCCAGTGACTTGGTTTTCCAGACAGAACACTGTACTTAAACTCCAGCTTCATGTGATGTTTTGCAGCTTATGCAAATATATGATTTCCCTCTTCTGATTTTTATGGTTTTCCTGTTTTTTTCCCCCTAGGGGCTTTGTGCTCAAACATTCTGTGGTCACTTGCATTCCTGTAATCATGCCACATTCAACATGAAGGTAAGCTAAAAACAGTAAAATTAATTGTGGTTCGGGCAGAATATATCTAAATGGTATTGCGGCTGGATATAATCTACTGGGATTTTTAGTTCCTGAAATCAATAATTCCAGAACAAGGAGAATACCTTCTCCCTACTGTGCGGCGGGGGGTGGGGGTGGGGAACCTTTATACTATTTTTTCATGGCTATTCATTTTCTGCTTGGTTCTTGTTTCATTTATCATGGATTTATGATACTGCTGTGTATTCATGGTGCTAAGTATATGTAAAATACTTTAGAGTAAGGACTTCTATTGATCTTATGTTCAGTTTTAGCCAATTAAAATGGTGTAATCTGTTGCTTAATTGTCTCATCCCTATCACTTACCTTTGATGGGATTTCCTTCAGATTGCTGGATGATTATCAGGCAATATTTCTGTTAAATCTTTGGGGAATTTCAGATTGTACCTTCCTCCACAACTCATTAAATATATAAAAAAACCTCCAAACATGGAACAAGAAAGCAAAACATTCCTATGTATTTTGGCAAGAGGCATATACTGACAGCATTCCTTATTTCTGTTGTTGCATTAGCTGCCTTCCCTTTCTGGAAAGGATGCTATATGCTGACATCAAGACTTGTCAGTTAACAGTCTAGTACTGTATTCTCCTGCAAAGTATTTATTCTTCATAATGTTAAATAATTAAACACAAACTTTTGTATATTGATGATTTTATAGATTAACATTTATTTTGATAAAGAATATTACATCTGGCATTAAACACTGTGATGGAATTACTGGTTGACATCTTTAGCAACCTAATTAGAAAAGTTGGAAACTGTCAGTAGAAGGCTGATTAAACAGAACGAGGGGTGCAATTTTAGAAGCTGTAATTACAGCTGCAGAAATTAATTGTAGATCTATGGAACTCAGACAGCTGAACTGTAGGTGTACACACATGTAACTATCAAATTATTCAAACTGCTTTTTCATTCTAAAAACTAGAGCACTCAATGTACTCTCATGCAAGAAATTTTCATAGCTTAGTATTGGAAAGTAAGACTATTTTTCAATTCAGTTCACAGGAATTCATAGGAAAAGGCAGTATGAAGGATCATTTTAATTTTTCTGCTCCCATTTGTGACATCCAAGTCTATTTGCTTGTTGTAGGATTTCCAGGTGGTCTCCCATCCACCTATTAGATCCATGCAAAGTGGCAAACACAAATAGGGCTGCAAAGATGAGCTGATTACTTCAATCTGTGAAGAGTCCACCCAATTCATCTCAACAAAGCAATTTCAGTACCTTTGGGCTCTTCAGGCCAATAATGTGGAATGGGAGAGGGAGAAGGAAAGCTCGTCTCAGCTTTTACCTACAGCATGAGCTCTGTGGGAGAAGGCTGAGAAGTACTCCTCTGAGGTAGAATAAGGCAAAGCTATAAGATTGCTTCACTTCACTTTTCACTCTTAAATGAAGCAACTTCAAAGGAATGCTTCCTATGAAGCTTTGTTAAGGCAGAGCATTCCCTGGAATCATCACACAGCTGTACTAAGCAACTCCAACCCTAGGCGGCTTTTCAAGAGCAGCCCAGTGCTGCCACCTACTGAAAATATTTTGCTATAGATCAGCTTAGCATCTGATCAGATTGCTTTATGGGCACACATTTTATTCTGAACGTGATCATATGTTATTAACAATAATAATAGACATACGTGCCACTGAAGGCCATTTATCACATGCTTCAAAGTAGTAGCGTATGTTTGCCGACAGATTTCAAATAATATTGAAGGGAAGACTCAAGCAGTATCTATAGGCAAGCTCTGCTCCTTTTGGACATTTGTGCAAAGTTGCAATCCACATAGAAAATGAGTAAGATTTGATCATGATGCCACCACACTGCTTTTTCCTCTCCTTGTGGGCACCCACTGCTCAGTAAAGAGTCTTTTGTAACCTATACTTTATGTTGCCAACCATGAATTGTGATTAATTTAATAAAATAAGGCTTGTGCCTCTTCTCATTAAGCAGAATTAGTGATGAGCAATTTAGATGTCATTAAAGCCTGATTTGGTAGAATACACTACAGTAGGATGCATTTCTTTGGATTTGGATGCAAAATAATGAAGGACTAAATGAGAGAAAAACCGACAAACATTATTGGAATCCACTTTTTAAAACTTAATTAATTAACTTTTTTTTAACTTAATTCTCTTTCTATTCAGTTATCCTGCTTTCCAGTAAAGAGGCTATCTTCTGATGTAGTTCTTTTAACAGGACTATGAACTATTCATCTGTGGACTCTCATTGTTGTGACTCCATATCCACAAATTAATTTGTGAAAAAAACTCCCCAGGGGATTCTATCTGTCCTTTAACTTACTTCTATCTGATCTGCTTAGACTCCATCATTGCATATCCTACTGTGGGTTTGTATATATAAATGTGATTTTTAAGAAGGAGCAAAATAAAATGTAGCTTATAACTCAGAAGAGATTTCTTAAGCATCATCTCCCACAAAAATAATAGAGTAGCTTATAGCATCTGAGTATCATAAATAAATAAGCAAATAAATATGAAAATACACACATTAGAGAAGCAGAAAAATGTTTGCAATACAAACAGGATCAAAAATATTTTCATGCAGAAAATTATAAGCATATCACAGTTTAATGGTAATTGTGTGTAGAAAAAGCAGTGGGGTTGGGCACTCTCTCTTTTAAGAAAGATAGCTATTCTACAGGACCTTTACAGAGACAAGGCCTTAGAGATACAGGTTCTTTGAAAAATCAGGATACTTGCCACATTAGGGAGAGTTAGATTGCCTTAATACGACAGGGAGATTCTTGTTGGGGATGACCAATGCACAGTACAGAATAGTTACATGCGCTGCATGCGGATTTCATATTTTCTTTTTTTAGTCCCAGAAACCCCAAGTCTGTACCAATGAGATTCAGGGACAAATCACTGAATAACAAAAGTGTAATTTCTGGTGATTTATAGTAGGAAGTTAAAGAAAGTAGCTGTATTAAGTCATGTATAGGTTTAACAAATTTTAAAACTTAAAATATCTCTAATCCCCTGAAGAGGGGGAGAAATCAGTCTAAAAAACCTGTTCTGTTCATTGCAGCCAAATTTGTTTTAAAAACTTTGATAAGGAATGACAAAGCAGAGGAGAAACCAGGGGAAAGCAGCAACTTTGCAGTGGAAATTTAAAGCAAGCTGTTGGGTCCAGTCTTTGGACAAGTTCTGTACCAGGGGTGTCCAGAGGGAGGATCAAAAAAGGCAAGCTGGTGCCTGCACAACTGAAACACTTTTTTTTAACATGCACCATGTGTATGCAACACATTTAAAAAGAGGCAGTGCTTTGAATACAACTGTTGCCACCATCATGTTTCCAGCTGGTGAAGCCTCTGCTGTGAATGAAGGAAGCACTAGACCGTATTTCAAAATTAACATGGAGCATGTAATTGGAGAGGCTAAGATGAAAAAGCAGGGTAAAGCTTTGTGGTTCTTCCCAGTTTAAAAAAACATGCCCCTAAAACTAGAAAATAGATTTCTTGTTGTTTAGCTGAAAGCAAAGTTGAAACTTATACATTAAAGGAAGCTGGGTTGGAAGTTATATATTAACTTATATATTAAAGGAAGCTGGGTTGGAAGAAGATGAGCATGGTTTTAAAATTGGAGGAATAAACATCAATAATCTGCAACAATCATTACAAGGTAAAAATAAACCTAAAGGAATAGAGGCAGTCCCCAGTTTAAGAATGAGTTCCGTTCCCAAGGTCTGTCCTTAAGTCGAATTTGTATGTAAGCCGGAACGGTATTATTGTGTCGTACTGTATAAGTAGTATTGTGTAATGAACTCGAACCATTGTGTATTTAATTCAAATCATTGTGTATTTAAT